TTTATCAACGAGACAAAATACAAAATTTAAATATAATACGTGTTTTAAAAGCATTTCGTTACATTTTAATACAATAGTAAAGATTAATCCAATTCACGAAAATACACCGCCATGTTGATTATTCGAATTTTGCTAGGCCTTCCAACGCGACCCAGTTCAGATATTTTCCGAAACTGACAGCCCGCAAGTTCACGACAGCCTGTAACTTGCCCGCGCTTGAAGGCCAGGGACTAGGCTGCTGACACACGACTCACGAGTGCCAAATACAAAATATAAACAAAGCTAAAACTACGTTTTCATCGTCAAAACGTTTGCGTCTTGTTGTCTAATTTGTAGTTTGGGAATAGATTTTGTGTTCTTTGAAGGCACAAACTGTCAAAGCAATTGTGCAGCTACAAAAATGGTGACAATTGTGCAGCCTTGTAAAAACAAAGTAGTTTCGCCTAAATATAATTTACTCATAAAACATTTTTGCATGCTCTGAACGTCACTACTTCACTGTTTTGCTAATATTTTATAAGATTACAAAACAATATATAGTTCTTTCTTCATCGGTGGGTTTTGTTTTCGTATCTGCGTGCAGCGCAAGATACTATGCTACAGTATCAGAGGAGGTTGAAAACTCTTCCCAGCATGCATTGCAACTCATTAATATTCACAATCATGATTTTTCACAGTGTTAGTTGGAAAAGTTGTGGATATCTATTTCGATATTTCGCCACGAAAAGTTCGTATTTTTGAAGGTAAATTTTTATAATTGTTTTAAATATGAGTCAAATTAACGGTTTTTGCTTCATTTGGTGTTTTAACAACGTTTAGTTATATGTTAATCGCAATTTGTATTGACCTGTTTTCCGGGTCAATGCACAAGTGTCAAAAGTGGCTTTCAAAACGCTTGGGGACAATTGGGTTTATAAATGAGTAAATTAAATAAAAGACACGCCATCGTATTCAAGAAGAGTTGTTCTTTCTATGAGAAGTTTAATTGTCCCCATCAAACTGAGGCCTAGTTTATACGTCGAATTTCAGTCGAATTTAATTCGTCGAATTTAATGTGACAATTATGTGAGTGCAGTTTAGACGTCGAATTTTGGTCGGAAAATCAAAACATGCGGGTGTTGCAGGCTGTACGATTGACAAATAAAGGCCTATAAAATATGAAAGATGCGGCGTACACATAAGCAATAATCTTGAAACAAATGCTGAAAATTAGCGGAGAAAGACGTCAGAATCAATTGTAAATTTCGCACTTAGTAATTAATAGAAAAAGGAAGATTCTTCGGCTGTGCTTGGCATTGCTTTCCAATTTGTATGAAGCAAAAATACCCCGAATTCATTCATGTCGTCGACTTGAAAAATCAGTACAGTGCAGTTATTGGTTGGAGTTGGACTATGACTGTGGTCAAACTATTCTGAAAAGCGTTTTAAGAATACTTTTCGCATGTCACGACAAATTTTCACAACCATTCTTCACAAGATTGGAGACCAGTTAGAGAAAAAATTTAAAACAGAGCTTCCAATTTCTTTTTCTTTGTTTCTTTCTTTGCCAGTTTTTTTTTCTGTCAGTTTTTTTCCTCTTGGCCAGTACCTACTATTCATGAGATTGTCATTGAGGTTTGTGAAGTAATGGTTACACATATTTATGGCAAGATTCTGTGTCTAGTTATTTTCCATTGACGGAAGAACATACAGTATGAAAGAGAAAATCATCAGTTGATATGGAAGATATTTCGGGGCAGTAATTGCCGAGTAAGCAACGCAAACATTTGGAATCCATCTCTGAATTTCGTCGTCTGTTACAGCCATAGAACATGATGTACGATTGAAAACGCACGTTTTACATGTAATACGACCGACGATATTTAGCAATTAGAACATGGATGTTGTTTGTCCGCCATGTTAGTGAAAATCACACTTCGTGGAGTCCACGAAGTATGACGTTATTGATTTTAGGGTACAGTTGTGGATAACAATCTAATTTAAATCATTTATTCATTTTATTCGACGCGACGGAAATTCGACGTATAAATCAGTGTCGCGTTTCGGTCGCATTACACGACTGATCATGTCGCAAAATTCAACAGAGTCGCATTTAATGCATCCCGTCGGATTTAGTTAATTTATACGTCGAATTTTCGTCGGATATAATGACTTGACTGAAATTCGACGTATTAAATTCGACGTATAAACTAGGCCTGACGAGTAATCGCGGTTTGAAAATGGGGCATTTTCGGTATACTATGTCGCCCATCGCGGGAATAGTCGACCGCATAGGAATTACGGCGCGAGGAAAATTACTGTACGAGTCGTCATTTATTTTTGTTTTATTTCGAAGCATGGGCGTATATGCCGATCGTTCTTGAGTTTAACTGCTGAATTTAAGTTAAATACACTGTATTTTACCATTATGTTTTGTAGAATTCGAATATATTTTGTGAAAATGGAATCTGACAATGATGGCAATGTTGTATATATAGTTGATCCTAAGTATGGGAAAAGTTCAACTTATGAATTTAATGCTGATTTAGAACTGTTATTGAACAAACTGTTCCTACATCTTGCTCTGGCAAATGGTATAACATCTAAGCCAAGCAAGTTGTGCTCATGATCCATTCAACTTATTCAAGCAATGAAACCATTGAACCAAAATAATAAGAGCGACCTGTTATATAAATTTTCCCATACCAGCCTTAGATACATATTTTAGTATGCACGCATGTAAATATTGGTGTATTGGTGACATGAAAATGTTACAACGAATCTTAAGTATTCACTTATATAATTATTGTAACTTTGAATAAATCATTTTATTGACGTCATTTGTGTATGACCAATGCATTATGACCACCGAATATCAGGGATCGATGGATTTACTGGGGTGTGTGCACACCCCACCTACCATGGTTCCAGAGGTTTATTTTTATGGAGGGAAAATTAACCTCTGGTTGAAAGAGGCAATTGATTCATCGAGAAGCGCCAATCAGTTTGAATTAGGGTCAGATCCTGACTCTGGCTCCTGATTGGATGATTGTACTAAAGCTCTCTGACTGATTCAAATAAAGCATCTATAACCAATCAGAGAGCTTCAATACAAACATCCAATCAGGAGACAGAGTCAGTATCTGACCCTAATTCAAACTGATTGGCGCGGCTCGATGAATCAATTGCCGCTTTCAACCA